TACCTCTCTCTCTCTCTCCCTCACCTCTCTCTTTCCCTCTCTCCCCCCCCCCCCTCTTTCTGGAATGGCTCTTTTAGCTACCCAGATTCTGCCCTCCAAGGTTCACACAACCCAGGGTTTCTCTCTGGGCTCTGGGCTGGCCACGATCCATGGAAAGGCTGGGCAATTCTTCCCCCTGTGACTCCGTGAGATTTAGTATGTAAACATGGGGGGGGGGGGGATTGGTTCTGCCCCAAGTGAAGGATGGATGGGACGAAGAGACCACCGCTACCTTAACAAGCTGGAGAAGGGGACAGGATGGCCAAACTCCGCCCCCCCTGAGGCCAGGCAGTGGGGTCTCCCCGTTGGGTCTGGAAGTCAACCAACACTTACTTCAGCAGCCGCATGCCAGCCGTGGCGCCCAGGTAGAGGGGCGTGATGGCGTGCCTTGCCTTTGGGACATCCTCCAAGGCCTGGTCAAGGCAGGCAACCAAGCTCTGCCCAGCGGCCGGCGGGTTCGCGGCGTAGCTTGAGATGCCTCCCCCTGCAAAATCCATCCGCCCTGAGTGCCAGGCCAGCGGGATCCCCCTCCAGGGTGGGGAGAGCCTGCCCAGAATGCCCAATGGACGGCGGCTGCTCACCCGGCACGGAAGAGAAAAAGCTATTTCCGCGCCCACCAGAAACCTGGGAGGATTTGCTGTATCGGACACAGTTCGACTCATTCCAGGTTTCGTTCCCTGCAACTGTCTTCTCCTGCCCTCCAGATGTGGGGATTCGGTCCCAAACACCTGGAATGGGCCGGGCTGGGAAAGACTGCTCTGCTGCAAAGCCTCCCTCCTCAGCCCTTGCCAGCTGCCCAGAAAAAACAGGCAGGGTAGCCCTGAGTTCAGGCCTTGGCGTGACCTCCACCTCCTGTTCTCGGATGCCTTTGGAGAAGCCCCTGCCAGGCCGTGCCCGGGCACTCCCTTCTCCTCCCAGAGGAACCCACAGGTCTTTCTTTCCCACAGCTTAAACCAGGTGAGTCATGCCAGTTCTTTGTCCGATGCCCAGAAAAAGAAATGGAACAAAAGAAGAAAGAGGACGGCTGCCCAAACGCGGTTGTTCCTGCCAGCACCAATGTACAAAATGCAGGCTGGAAATCTCAGCTGGCAGCACAGCATTACCCGGGCCACCGCTCCTCAACAGAGGTGCCCAAAACTGGGCTCTTCCAGACCTGGATGTGCCCCAAATTGTGGCCTGCCAAGAAGAGACTGGATTGCGGAGAGGAAGAGAAACCCCTGGGGATGAAGCGACCCCGTACGGGGCTCTAAGCAACATTTGAGGGGCTCCAACTGCAAACTCTTGTCCCTGGGAGGACAAACAGCCCCCTCCCACAAACATCAGAGGAGGAAGAGGGAGGGGCAGAGCCCCGATTCGGCTTACCCTTCACGTGGCAGTCGCTGTGCTGGCTGACAATCCCGGTCTCGTTCTCCTTGTCGGATGGCCATTTGTAGACAAACATAGCCGTGTGGGAAGATCCCGCATCCAAAACTATCCCATACTGAGGAAAAGAAGGAGAAGAAATGGGGGGTGGGTGGGTGACAGATGTCGGGGGACACAAGGTGACGTCTCTCCCACTGAGCAAATCTCCCCGCAGGGTATTGGAAGCGTCAAGTGAAATGAGCCCCCCCCCCCCTGCTTTCCTTGCATAGCTATGCGAGAACAGCCCCAAGATTAGGGTAACAAACCTCCTCATCCATGACTTCTGGGGGAACCCTGGACAACCCCACCCCCATGTTTCCCTCCCCCTCAGGCCAGAGGTGGTATCCAGCAGGTTCTGACCAGTTCTGGAGAACCAGTAGTGGAAATGTTGAGTAGTTCAAAGAACCGGCCAATGCCACCTCTGACTGGCCCTGCCACTATCTATTCTCTGCCTCCTGAGTCCCAGCTGATCAGCTGGGTCTCCTTTGGTTGCCCTGCACAGGAGAATGGAGCTGCAAAGCAGGTCAGTGGGTGGGGAGGGAAGGGGGATTTTGCAGTAACCTTCCTCCGGGAGTGGGAGGAAGATAACTGGAAGTTAATGAAGTGTTTACACTACAGTATCCTTCCCTGATATTCTGCGGCTGAGATCCTGCCCTAGGTTTTCCCCCCTTATCTCTCCCTGCCAGGTTGGGAGGCGCCTATTGCTCTTCGTGGTTGTGCAATATGTTTTTTGATGATCCTTCCCTGTCATCTGAAGCTTTCCGTCAATCTAGATCTGAAATAGGGTGGGATCTTCCCCGTGACCTGGTCTTGTGGGGGGAGGGAGGGCTTCAGCTCAACGAGGCTGTCTCTGTATCCATCAGCCTGGACTCTCCCGGGCTCCCCCAAAAGCGAAGCAGGTCCCTGGCTGTTTGGGGTGAGGGTGGCATCTCCTGCCATCTTTCCTTCTTTCCCTTGGGCTCCTTTTGATCAAGGGGGGGTGGGGGTCTCTCCTTCCCCAACCTCAGCTGGAGAATCAAGAGGCACACACACCCTGACCCCCGCCAAAGAAATCCTACACACAAAAGCTGGGCACGGCGGGGCGGATGGTACCAAAGGGCCTCTCTAACCCCAAGGCTAGCCTGCAGCTCTGCAGCCCCCCCAAGACTCCAGGAGGGTCTCTTTCCTTGGGAATTGGGTGAGGGAGAGTGCAGGCAAACAGTGCTTTTACAATTCTGGCCTTTGCTGGATGGAGCAAAACAACAATTGGCTGAACCCCCACTATCTGCAGTACACACGTACTATCCCAGCCCCACATAGGAAACCCGCCTTGCTCGGGATCTGGCAGAGCTCCAGCTAAATATTTTAACAAGCCTCCCAATGATTTACAGCTCCAGGTGGAGAAATTTGTAGGGCGGGAGACTGGGGGCTGAGCCGTTCGCTACAAGCAACAACTTGATCGGCCCTTGGAGAGGTCCATCCGTCCATCCCGCAAGCAACAAATCAAAATTAATCCCACAGCGGGGCAGCAAGTTTTCGGTTGCCGGAAAAGAGGCTTCCCAGGGTGGGTATGGTGCCTCGCTCTCCTCCGCCCCAGACTGGAAGACTTCCCCCCCCACCTGCAGACTCCATGAAGACTTCAGGACCCCCAAGTCCTGAATTCTGCAGCGTTGAGACCAATGAGCAAAGGTATCAAGCAAGAGACATTGTGCTGTCCAGAGAGTTTAGAAGAGTTAATGGGATCTGGGATAGTTAGGATTTGAGAGCTGTCCCCTTAAGGGAATGCATCCTGGGAAATGTAGTTCATATCACATTACCACATCTGTAATCCTGATTGGTCACTAAATGGACCCTTTTTGGGTTGGGGGAGGCTCCCTCACTCTTCCCTGAATCCATTACCATGCAGCTGCTCCAATCATCACGGGGATGAGACTTTATTATCTTTCCACACCACAATTCAGATATGCAAAGGATGGGACATTAAGAAGGACCTCGCCACCAATGTGAATTGATAAGGATGCCTGATGAACCAATAAAAAAAGACTTTGTGCGGATGCTTTTTTCCGTGCTTCAGACTCTCCCGCATCTAACATGTTTTAGGTCTGCCATCCTTGCTACCCTTGGAGGGCAGAGGTGGGTATTCAGCAGGTTCTGACCAGTTCTGGAGAACCGATAGCGGAAATTTCGAGTAGTTTGGAGAACCGGCAAATCCTGCCTCGGACTGGCCCTGCCCCCATCTCTTCTCTTCTTTGGAAACTTCCTTTTCTGCAGCCAGGATCCTCCTCTCCTGCCCTTGAACCCTGCGGATTTCCTCCCAGTTTCTAACTCTGCCTGATAAGTGGGGCAGCTTCTCCAAAGCCCCCTCCTTGACTGTTCTCTCTCCAATCCCACCTCCCCAATATCTTCACACTCTGCAGCTGGTCGGTCCCGTTTTTCCTGCCCGGTAACCCCCTCCGTTTAACCCCGGGGAGACTGGAATTGTCAAACTGGATTCGACAGCAACCTCCTGGCCTGGTCATTCCAGCCTCAAACCCTCGGAGAGATTCTCCACCCCCCGCCAACACCCTCCCAAGCTGCACCAATTGATCCACAATTGAGAGCCGATGCTCTCAGCCGCAAACGACTGGATTGTTGCCAACATTCCGAGGTGTTTCGAAAGAGAGGAATGGGCCGGGGCGAGGCTGGGTGGGGGATTCCTAGCTGGGACTTCTGGTATTTTGGCCTCTTCCCCCAGCAGATTAGCCCACAGTACAGAGGAGGAAGGAACGGCAGAACTGGTCTGGCCTATTCAGCCTCGTAAATCTGTGTGCCGGTTACATTCCTTGGACCCCCCCCCAACTGTTATACCGATCTGCTTTTTCCCACAACCCTTGGCTGTTCCCATCCCAAAGAGATCTTTTGTGCGGGAGGTGATATGTTAAAATAGAGGAGAGGAGGGGGAGGAAGAAGAGGAGGGGAGGAGGAGGAAGAAGAAGAAGGGAGGAGGAGGAGGAAGAGGAAAAGGAGGAGGAAGAGGAAGAGGAGATGGAGGAGGAGGAAGTGGAGGTGGAGGAAGTGGAGGAGAGGTGGAGGATGAGGGGGGAGGAAGAGGAGG